CCCAGTTGCAGTCACCGGACGATTGGCCACTGGAGGCAGCAGAAAACGCCCAAGGCAGTGTCTAGCACACGTGACAGGTACTCACCAAACACTCAGAGAGTGAACTGGATAAATAAGTGACCAGGAGCCAAAATTACGTTCTCTCCCACCACCAGCTTCCTCTGAGGCACACTGGAATTCCTTAACAGCAGAACCACACCGCTGGGCCTGTGCCCTTGTGGTTCCCTTTGCCTAAACAACCTTCTCATCCAGGCGGCGGCAAGGTTGCTTGGTCTTACCGACCCCTCCACCTGAAACGGCCCCGCCATTGCCCTCCATCCTGCTGTCCTAGCTTATTTCCCTTCACAGCACCTATTGTCACCTTTTAGTGTGGTGCTATATGTAGGTACTGTCTGACTCCTGCACTGAAATGGAAACCCCACAAAGGCGGGGACCCTGTCTTATACAGGACTGCATCCTTCGTGCCCAGAACAGTCCCTGGGACACAAGAACACTAAAGACGACCTTGGGTAAGTTACCTCCTCACCCCGTGCCTCAGGTGCCTCATCTGTGAAATGGGGGTGAAAGTGGAGAATTAACACCACTGTTCAAAGTTCCTTCCAGCTCATAAAGTTTTCTGTGGTTTTATACCCTCAGGACACGAAAACTAAAAAAAAAAAGACACCAAACAGCCACCCCCTTCCCTCTAGTTAGTCTTGTTTTGTTACTTTACTACCTTGCCCTAAGTTCCTGAGATTTTACTACCCAGGGGACCAGAATTTGGGTTCAGTTGTTAAGAGATGACAAGCACGTCACCTCCCTCACCAGGAGAAATGGGGGACCCCCTGGACAATCCAGGGCCAGGCTGCTTGGCTTAGGGGGCAGGGAAAAGATCAGTGGGTAAACTTCTGTGCCCCTCCTTCACTGCTGCGGACAGAGCAGTGCCAGGTGTCACCAGGGGAGGCTAACAACAGGCATCCCACGAGATCATCTGGTACATGCAAGCAGCCGTCTGGAAAACCTTGGACCGGGCAGGTGAACAGAAGTTCCCAGCCCCATGCCAGCCCCAGACTCCTAGAGCCATTAGGGAGGGGATGGGGTTATAAACTGCCCAGGGCCCTGCCTTTCTGCACTCAGGGCAGACTGCTGGAAATCAGGAGGTTCCATGGTGCAGTGTACTTTCAGGGTCTCAGCTGCCTCATTTCTTTGTTACCTAGTAGAAGGTCGTAAAGCTTAAAAATTAAAACTGTAAGTTCGGCCACACACCAGCTGGGTGTGCCACCTTGCTTACCCCACGAGAGGTTCTACTTTCCCATCTACAAAGTGGGGATCCTGACACGCCTTCGCAGGGCTGCTGCAGCGGGAAGTCAGGTGCTCGGCAGAGTACTCAGCACAGTGGCCAAGGCACAGAAAAATGCAACATATGGAAGCTGTTTTTATTTCTTGTTATAAAACTCAGTCCCAACTCCTTGGACTAGTCTTCCAAAGAATTTATAAACCAGTTCCAAGAGCGAGGCACTGGGAAGCAAAGCTGGTTTCTGTTCTGGCTCTGACATTAACAAGCTAGATGACCTCAAGGCAAGGCACACAAATTTTCCAGGCTCCACAGCCAAGAGGGAAGTGAGGCCCTCATGTCTGCACACCCTGCCTCCTCTTCCAGGCAGTGACCTCCTATCCAAAGGCACTCTCCACTCAAAACTCTCCAGATACATCCACACAAAGCAATAGTATTCAGCCATAAAAAGGAACGAAGCACTGACACCCGCTACAGTATGAATGAACCTGAAAACACGAAGCTAAGTGAGAGAAGTCAGATACAAAAGGCCACACAGCAATGATTCCATTTATAGGAAATATCCAGAATGGGCAAGTCTACAGAGACAGAGAGTAGATGAGTGGGTGGCTGGGGCTGGAGA